TGCTTCTTCTTCTTCTTCTTCTTCTTCTTCTTCTTCTTCTTCTTCTTCTTCTTCTTCTTCTTCTTCTTCTTCTTCTTCTTCTTCTTCTACCACTACTTCCACCTCACAACCCATCTCTCTGATGGAGTGTGAGGTATTCCCTCCCCCCTCTCCCTAGCACCCTTCCCAGCCCTATCTGTCTGCTCCACCTCCCCCTACCCCTTTTCCCCCCACTACCAATGGAAGATGACATCTCCGACCCCCCTCCCCGGCCTGACCCCGGGAGTGGCGGAGTCTGTCACTCCTCCAGGTCCCCCACTGGACTGGCCGCCGTCCCTGATGGACGGCGTCCGGGAAAACACTCTGCCTCCCCCGCAGGGAGGGGTCACAGTGTTTCTTCGAAGCCGGGGCCGTTGAGCTCCAAAATCAAAGCCAAAATCAACAGCCAGACACCACTCAACCAAGTTTTCAAAATCGCTTTAAAATTATTGGGTAGGTGCACAGACACCATTCGGCACGCCAAGAAGCCGGATGGAACCACAGTTGAAACACAAGTAGACATCGCAAACACAATAGCTACATCTCTCGCCAATAATTCATCCCAAAAAACCTACAACGCAGACTTCACAATAGACGAACTAACATCGTGCATCTCGGACCTGGGCAATACAGCCCTAGGACCGGATGACATCCATAACCAGATCATTAGACACCTACCCTCAAAAACACTTACACTCTCCTACTAGATATATACTACGACATGTGGCGGTCGCACTCCTTTCCGGAGTCTTGGCGTCTCGCCACTGTCATTCAAATACCCAAACCAAACAAAGACCACACACACCCATCCAATTACAGACCAATAGCACTAACGAGCTGTCTGTTCAAACTTATTGAAAAAATGATTCCCAGGCGACTCATGTGGTTTCTGGAAACGACGGGCTCGTTGAGCGGTCTCCAGTGCGGATTCAGGAAAACTCGATCCACTCTGGATCACCTGGTCCGCCTGGAGACCTTTACACGCGAGACGTTCGCTGAAGGAAGCCACATGATCGCCATCTTTTTCGACCTAGAAAAAGTCTTCGACACAACATGAAAGTACGGCATTCTTCGAGATCTGCACGCACTCGGCATACGCGGTCACCTCCCTGCCTTCATTGGCAACTTCTTGAGGAACCGTTAATTCCAGGCTCGTATCGGATCCTCCCTTTCAGACCCCCACCTACAGGAGGAAGGAGTCCCCCAGGGGAGCATCCTTTCTCCGCTCCTATTCGAAATAAAAAAACCCTCCAAAACAGCATAGACAGCTCGTTATACGTTGACGACTTTTTGATATGCTGCCGTTCGAAAAATCCTCATCTGAGATCTATGGAAAGGCAAACTCGAAAAGTGGGCAAACAATAACGGTTTCAAGTTCTCCCCGTCAAAGACGGTTGCAGTACACTTCTGCCAAACAGGCAGACGTGTGCTGCAGCCAGATTTGACACTAAACGGGGAAAGGATTTCCGTCCAGGACCAAGCTCGTTTCCTCAGTGTTATATTCGAAAAAAAACTCACATTCATACCACACATCAAAGACCTCCGTGTGAGGTGCCAGAAAGCGCTAAACGCTTTGAAAATTCTATCGCACCCGGAGTGGGGCGGGGACTCAAAACACCTTCTCCACTTGTACATCTCCCTAGTACGGTCCAGGCTTGACTACGGCTGTCAAGTCTAAGGATCGGCAAAACCACACATCCTGAAAATGCTAGACCCAGTACAAAACCAAAGACTCCGCCTCGCTCTGGGGGCTTTCCGCACTTCCCCAGTGGAGAGCCTCCAGGCCGAGGCAAACATACCACCACTCTCACTCAGACGCACACAACTCTCACTACAATACTCAATTAAACAGAGCTCCACACCAGAAAATCCAGCGCACAATTGCATTTTTAAAACAAACCCAGAAACCATAAACAAATTCCAAAACAACGAAAAACTCATCAAACCCTTCGGTCTCAGAATCCTTGAGGACCTCAAAAACTCACACTTTTCCAAACAAGACATCCAACTGTTTCTTTTCCCCGACATCCCTCCGTGGCACCTCACCAAGGCAACTGACCACACACAACAAAGAAAGCACAAACACCAAAACTTTTAAAGCAGAATACAAAAAACTAATAGATAAATACCCCGGTGCAAAGCTCATCTTCACGGATGGCTCCAAAAAAGACAAT